AACTCAAGTTTTATTCATCATAAAATTCATACAACTCCTCATCACTGTCAAAACTCCCAACCATTAGCTTGTCCTCATCTGTGTCTGATGACGAATTACTGTCTTCATATATTGCCTCGTCCTCGGTTCCATCTATGGCATTTGAAATCTACAACCACTGTATAAGACGCACCCAGTTTAGACCTCAAATTTTTCTTAAAACAGGTGCGTCTTATACATGGGGAAATACGGTAACATTTCTTAAAATGACAGTCTGTGGCAAGATGCTTTTTGAAAAGTTGGTATTTAAAAAACTAAGTTTTTAATTTAAAAATGACATATCAAAGCAGATTTATGTATAATAAATGTACTCAAGTGGGACAGAAATATTGTGTGTCCAAAAGCTACTTAAAGGCAGCTTTTTTCTGACTGCTCTTTTTGTATGGGGCCCACCAGCCTGCTTGCCTCTATCTTCCCATTGTCCCACACTGCTCCTCTCTCACTAGACTGCCAGCCTTTGAGGGTAAGAACGCAGTCCATGGCACATATCAGGTTCTCAAACATTAGCTGAATGAATACCACATATCCAGAACAAATGTTCCCTTCACCTTCAGATACCAACAAACCTAGCTAGTCCATAAGTACTTTGAAAGAGGAAAGATGCCATTTAAAATACTTCACATAGCCACTGAGGAATAAATATGTATCATGTAAGTAAGTAAGTAAATAAATAAATAGAATGGGTGGGTAAGCATACCCAAGTATTTTCCATATTATTTAAAATATGGTAATATATTTTAACTTGTTTAAAAAGTCCTAGTGAGACTATGAAAATTTTCACCTAATTTTTCTAATTTCTCCAATAACTGACCCACTGTAATTACAAAGCACACACACACAAAATAGAATTCAAGAGAATAAGGAAAACAGTTTTAAGATTTAATGCAAGCAGTACTTTTAAATAAGCTAAACTATTATTTGTCTACATATTACTAGCATTTACCAGGTTACTACTGCACGAGTTGTGCATATACTGTGTACTTCGTTTTACATACCGTTCCTGCAGTATCCAAGATTTCCAGCATACACTGTTGGGCATCTACTTCAACTTGCTGGAGGAAAAATTAAAATACACTTTCATTTTTTTATGTAAACAAGACTATCTTAATATATACAAAAGCTACTACATGATATTTAAAACAGAGACACAGAGTATAGTAACTCTAATTACAAGAAATACTTTTAACAGAAAAACCATGTGTTCTGACTCAACACATGGATACCTACAAGATCTTAATACGAATTGCTCAGTACTTAAATATGGAAAGGAAATGATTTAAAAATGGCTCAAAAAAAAATTAAACCCAATAATAGTTCCAATAATATCAGAAGTGATTCTGTATATCTCAATTCTGCCATACTTTAGTTATACCTTCATTTCTCTAGATAACCACATCACCTTCACCGCACTGGAGTAAAAATTCTGGTAGCAAGGAAGCAGAAAACAGCTATCAAATAAATTCTATATCTTTTTTACTTCTTTCCATCTAACATTTCTTAGGAAAAAAGTTATTTAGAATTGGATGTGAAAAAAAGAGTTATATTGCTTTGCAGCTGGGGTGCAGAAAGGGGTTTCGTTTGTTTGGTAGACTGGACAGAGAGGGAGGTGTGGAAACAGTGGAGCAGCAACAGACTGCTCCATAAGGTGGGAGATACCTCTCTCCCTGATACATTAACAATGTCTGCACAAGTTTTATTGTCATATGCTGTGTTTGTGGACACAGAAATAAGCCTTTCTATTATGAGCAGTGGCACTTTCTCAAGCAGTTAGGTTAGGGAGGAGACTGTACGTACATCTTTAGGTGAAAAAGAAGAAATGTACGAGTATTTAGTCTTTGGGGTGGGGGTGTGTGGAATATGGAGCTACCACTTGAAATGGATGACCTAGCTCTAAAACTTGTGTGTCAAATTACAATGTTGGGGTCAGGATAAACTTAAAATTTTCAGACAGAGGGGGAAAGAGAGAGAGAGGGAAAGCCCCTGTGTGCAAATGTTTTAAGACTCTCATAAATTGGTAAACATGCAATGCCAGGAAATAATCAAGTGTGAACTTTTCCCACTAATTTTATAAATTAACTCTGCTTCTTCATCCTACTTTGTAAACAACATTCAATAATTATAAAGCTAAAAACAATAATTTATACTAAAGACATAAGCAAAAGGCCTTTTAAGATACCATACCTTTCTGTAAGAATCTTCTATCGTAGGATCATATTTTTCAACAAAAATTCCTTGAACAAACTGTACAGTCTGAAAAAACAAAACAATACAACATACCATTATACTTCTAAAGAAGAGAACAAATCCAAACCTGTACATTTGAAAACTATTGATTTCACAGAGATAGTTATGCCATTGATGAAATAATACAACCACCACTACATCTGAATGTATGCATTTAGTGAGATTATCTTAGAAGACTTTTTTTAAAACTTAGTAATCATTATGTTCTTTATTAGGTAATTCTAAATTTAGAGATCACATATTTAAAAAATTTTTTTAAATGTCTACAGTTTCAGTCTTAAGGGCTTAAATTTGAATTTTAACCAGAAAGTGGCTAATTTTTTTATGTGCACACATATGTGCACACTCAAGACACCTCCCCATCACTCTGGACATAATTACAAATGAAAAAGCAGCACATGCCCTGTTGTATGCACTTCTCACTTTGATCCAAGCGTGTCAAGTTCTGTGCTAGGTGGTCATTCTAAGTGGCCAAGATGGTTGATCTATCTTATTGTGGGGCTTTGCTAAACTCTGAACTATTCATCAAGTTAGTTTCCCTAAGTTTTATCCCTTCCTCACCTACCACCATCAAGTTGTGTCTTTTTTCGTTATACTATTCCTTGATATAGAAAACATGACAGCTAAAATAATGGAAAAACTGGGTAGTCAAAGGTAATATTTGAAAAGGTTTTTTTTATAAGCTTTATTTAATGTTTCCAAACATTTTATTTATATATATATGCCAGCTCTCAATGAAAAGACCAAAATTCATTCCTATCTGGCTCTGAAATGAAGACAGACACACATTTATATGCACTCACGCTCTATGCTTAGCTCAAACTGTATTCTGGCATACCTCATGTTCGTCTGAAACCAATGTTCCAAAGAGAATACACGTGATCTGCCCAGACACAACTAAAAGTTGACTAAAACTACAAGAAAATATTGCTTCTAAAATCACTATGGGATTTCACCACAATCAAAACCTGAAACTCAACAGAAAAAGAACATATCTTGCAGTGAATAGTTTAGGTACAGTGAAAAATGACTTACTAGAGCAGATTTTCCAACGCCTCCTGAGCCAAGGACGACTAGCTTATACTCACGCATGGTGCAAACTCGTCAAAAGCTAGTACCTTATTAAAGAAAAAAACAAAAATTATTAGGTAATATCTTTGTATTCATGCACTTCTTATATAAATTACACATTCAAGCAAGCAGATTTCTTTAAAATGATTACTATACTATACTACATGGAGCATTCCAAAAACAATAATGCTACTGGTAGGGCTCTTTATAACACATCAGAGGTAGAAAGAAACTGGAGAATTACAAACATGACATCCAGCCTCATCCTAAATTCAATTAGAATAAAATATTTGCTCTATTAAGGAAAAAGGGGGGGGCTGAAGAATAGCATGAAGAGGTATTCTATTGGTTACAAGATGGCAATGACAGACATGTGTCGTGTACCCCCCCTCCCCCCCCCGGCTTTTCTGAATCAACTGTAACCTTGAGTCACAAGTAGTTGAGTGCCTACTAAGTACAGGATATACCCAATGGAAAAACAAACCAACAAACAAATCCTGCCTTCACTGAGCTAACATTCTAGAAAGATGAACAGATGGAGCAGGGGTCTGTAAACAAATCCAGCCCACCACTTGTTTTGTACATAAAGTTTTATTGAAATATAGTCAGGCCCATTCATTTGTGTATTTTCTGGGGTTGCTACCTTGCAGTAATGGCAGAGTTAAGAAGCTGCAGTAGAGGCCATCTGGTCTGCAAAGTCTAAAATTTTTACTCTGGCATTTACAGAAAAAGTTTGTTGACCTCTGAGATACATGAATGTTAAATGAGTTAGCAGAGAAAACAGGCCAAATATCTATTACTGAAGTGGGGGAGGTACAAAAAGTCTGAAAATGCTCAGGAATCAGAGGCAGAACCTGAAGAATACGAATGCCCAGGCTGAAAAAGTCTGAGTGTTCACCATGATGAAATACTGGAAATCAATACAAAATAAAACCAAAAAGAAGCAACCCATACTAAGGCTTATCATTATAAAATTTCAGTATACTAAGGATAAAGACGCCCCTAAAAGTTTCCAGAGTGGGGGACAACATGAGAATACAAAGCTCTCACATTCCTAGAAAAAAATAATTGGGTCAATGGTCATGGTACAAAAGTAGCCACCAGAACAGCTTTTAAACCTTCTTAATCAAGAAATGACAGTTCTTTAGTCATATTAACAAGTAACTACCAAAACTGGCTTAAACATATTTAATCAACCTATAACGATTTGTTTCAGTGAATATATTGCTTCTGCAAACTGCCAATTATCAATAGTCCCTTACTTCTGAAAGTTAGTCAGTCAAGAATGGACTCACTTTGGTGTATCTGTGTTAAATCTTTTTGTATGTTCTTTCCTTCCAGCCCATACTCTTAGAAAAGATATCCTGTGTTTCACTTATATCTATCTCTATGCCATTACTTTATTTCTCCTTAGGATGATGCCATGTCTATTGCCATGGGAGTCCATTCAAAACTTTCTCCTTTAAATACATGGACTATCCACCATATTTTTTCTGTTCCTGATTGGGGACGCCTCCAAAAAAAAAAACACCAAGAAACAAAACACCCCCAAGTTGTTAGCTGCTAATTTTCCCATTTACTAGCTCCTATATTTTATTTCTAAACTTGAACTCATCATTTCCAGACTCTCCTCCAGTTCTTGAACATAGTCTTCTTAACTTTTTTTTTTAAAAAAGGTTTTATTTGGGAATCGGGGACAAGTTGCTGTCCTTTCTGTTCTTCAGTCTAGTTGTGGAGGACGTTGCTTCACTGGCCCATGTTGGTATTATCATTGCGCTCCTTCCAGGTAAGGCAGTTGCCCGCCGGCCATTGGATGGCTGCTCACGGTGGCTCACGGCAGCTCACCAAAACTCACACCTGCTGCCAGCCAGCCCCACTGCAGCCTACACCATCATCGGTGACTCACGGCAGCCCAGCTCCAGATCGAGCTGTTGTTCACCATCTTAGCTGTAGAGGGCGCAGCGTCACTGGCCTGCACGTGGGATCAGAACAGGGGCCCTGCTGCTCAGAGCTGGCATCCCAAGCCAACTCTTAACCAACGCGCCACTCGGCTGGCTTTCTCCTTAACTTTTATGAATTGCATTGTTCTTACCAGATTATAATTTTAAGAAATACAAGTTTAACCAACTATAAGATTTAAGAGTATTCCACACTATAGTATGCATATAAATTTGGGACAAATGAAGAAATTACTCTTTGTAAAATTTAACTGAAGTCAGGTTTATTAAATGTTAAAAAAATCATTTAAATGTAGTATAATAGTGCCATGTGGACATTACCCAACCACATAGATCTATAATGATCTATTTGAAAAACATTAAAAAAAATTTAGGGTTCTAATGAAAGATGCCGCCAAATTTGTGTTTCTGAATCCAACTAGAGAGAATGTGTTAACTTTGGAAACAAGAATTTCCTAAACACCCCAAAGAGCAAACCAACTACTTGAACACAAATAAGACTCATCTCCCAGCATTCTTTTATCCTTTATGTAGCTGGGCTGTGTTGTGTCACTTTTTGATGACTTCTTTGCCATTTTTATCGACAACTTAAAAAACTCACTTCAATGAACACACATCAAAATGCCAACTAATCAACAACTGTCTTGAGTAACAGTGCTTCTATAGTTGACATTAACTCACTCCTGTTTTTGAAAGTTTGTCAATCCTTGAACTCTAATTCCCTAAAACCATGTAAGGCTAGCAGACTGCTCTGCTCAGAGGAGGCAGTGTCTGACTAGGATAGCTTTTTCTTAAGTAATCAATAACTTCAGTTTTGTGTTTCAGATATTGAATGGTGTCTCTCATTCTTTGACAGTTGACCCAAGACCTTCATTTGGTATGATTCCAAATGATGCCCTTTGGCAAACAAGTGTACTGAAAGGGACTGCTTGTGGCCAACTTCTGTTTGTTCTTTGAATTTGCTATCTGATGAGTCAGTGTCAACAATGAGAGCTCCAACTGGTTCTTTGAGCTTACACTGCTAAATTTATTTTGTTATTCTAGGATTTACACCAAATAGGTCTTTGTATAAGGCAATTAGGCCTTTTGGTTCTGGCCTGGAGGTGTATTATTTGGTAAATATTTTTGCCATTAATTTAATTCTTCAGCTAATTGCTTTGCTTTTTTCATCTATTTGAGCTAAATATAAGACATACTAATATGTCTCATGTGTTTTTTCTCCTAGACTGTCTTGTTTCCATTCGTTAAATAAGCGCTCCATTTGGAACAGATGGAGGCATAGGCCTGATAAGCCTTCAGTCCAATTCAAACTAGCCCCAAGTACTAAAGGTTGACGATGAGTAAAACCTGTGACCAACTCATGGAAAGGTGACTGATGGGTCAAACTTTACCTTGGGTCACTTACAAAACCTTCATGATGGCATATTACAAGGTCAATAACTGGGCTTGTTGATTATGTGGCCCCTTCCTAACCTCTGCTTGGTCAGGGAACCTGAGAATCTGTTTGTAAAGACGTATTTGTTAAAAAAAAAATTTTTTTTTTAATGTGCCTCTTCCCAAGTAATTACACGACACCATTTTTTCTTGACTCTAGTGATCTCTTTCTTATTTGTCAAAGCCAAAACTTTCTCTAGGAAGAACTTCTTTGTATTTTATAAACTCCCAATATAATCTTGACTCTTACACTTAAAATGGTAAATGACAAAAATTGTGGCTTTGACAATTGTTACTTAACTGGATTTATGGCCAACTTTCGAAATGCCAAAATTATTATCTTAACAGGGACTATAATTATAAAAAAATTATGAAGACAAAATAACATTCAATAATCAACCTCTTTAATTGGTACTCTGGGGCCTCAAAATCAACTAAAATAGTTTCTCTTTACTTCTCCCCAGCTCAAACATTTAGAAAACCACCCTCCTGGAACCATTCTGTCTATACTTATACTACCCATGAAACCCTTCTATTTCTTCTGCTTTCCCCATACCTCTGAAATGAACTACCTTTCTTGAGGGTTCCTCAGCAAAAGAACAAATACGCAAATAAACAGCCCCTTTAACTGCTAAAGTAGAAAGCAGAGATATAAAAACTGAATTTAAACACTGGCTTAGAATTCAGTTGAAGTTATGTTGAAGGGTTTTCCTAAATCTGAGGAAGACTGAAGGTTGAAAGATATTTGTTGCAGAATTCCATTAATTACTTAATTTCCTCATAAAGGAAAATGGTTAAAAGTAGCAGGATAAGAAAGACCAGATTCAAATTCCTTAAAAAACTGACCTTGAGAAAACAAGAACCTCTTTAGGAAATCCACTATTTCAGAAATCTTTCTTAGGGGTAGACTGGTAACGATTTAAAATTGTAAACAAAATAAAAATGACTTAGAATTGACTCTGGGTGGTGAACACACAATGTGATATATAGATGATGTATTACAGGCTTGTACACCTGAAACCTATGTAACACTTTACTAACCATTGTCACCCCAATAAACTTTAATTAAAAAAAAAAATGACTTGATACGAAACAAAATACAAATTGATTTTAGGAAACTTAAAAAAAATGTTCTGTGGTAGGCTGTATAGCTGAGGTAAAGGGAGACATATCCCTTCTTTCTGTAAATGGACTCCGACTTGAATAGGGAACTTAAAATGGAAAATTGGTAACTTAGAAAATATACTGTGGCTGAACATTTTCAGAGACTCTCACAAGTAAATAAGCTAGAAAGAAAAACTAATCTGAAAGGTCTTTGTTTCCTAAGAAATGGAAACCTATGGATGAGTACACCTGTACATAACAGCAAGGAGAGGAGCCACACACAGGAAGAACCAATGTCCCATGTTTACTAAGTAAAGGAAGGAAGTACAAAGATCCCATATCCATCCCATAATGCTGCTCCAAAGGAAACATGAGCACCCAGCACGTCCCTGCCCTTTCTACACTGGGGGTGGGAGTGGACTGACTGTATAGAGTCACCGGGAATATTTTGGGGGTAATGGAAGTGTTCTAAAACTGTTTGTAGTGATGACTGCACAACTGTATAAAGTTACCAAAATCCAAAAACAGAAACACTGACACAACTGACTGAATCAACAGAGAAATTACTATTTAAAAA